TGGGTCCAGAGCACCCCCACCACCAGCGTCCTGGCTACCCTCCGGTGGGTCCAGAGCACCCCCACCACCAGCGTCCTGGCTACCCTCCGGTGGGTCCAGAGCACCCCCACCACCAGCGTCCTGGCTACCCTCCCCTGGGTCCAGAGCACCCCCACCACCAGCGTCCTGGCTACCCTCCCCTGGGTCCAGAGCACCCCCACCACCAGCGTCCTGGCTACCTTCCCCTGGGTTTAGAGCACCACCACCAGCGTCCTGGCTACCTTCCCCTGGGTCCAGAGCACCATCGTCCTGGCTACCTTCCCCTGAAGCCTGAGCCTCCAATACACCAAACGCATGTACCAAAAAGTCCTCAGCAGCCTCGTGACTATGGCAAGCAACTTGGTAAATTGCGCAAGTGGCCTCATAAACCACATCGCCTCATCAAACTGTAACGGAAGCAAGATTTCTAGACCCATGTTTGTTCGGTCCAGGTGAGTGCCATCAACTTTTTATTTAATTTTTTCTTTGTTCATATTTTGACTTTTTTTTTTTTTCCATTAGGACCAACCAGCAAAAGTCAAGATGCAGAACAAGTTGCCAACTAAAATTTGACTAATATAAATTTTAATAAATTCATGTTAAAGCTGTCCCCGTCAGTTTTTTCATTGTATGAAATGACTAGATTTGATCTTGACATTTGGATTGAGGTTTGAAAACATTGTAAAGTTATGGTAAAATAACATGTCCTAGCATGAGTAATACGGCTAAATGCTGGCTTTGGAAAGCATCATGGCCCTACTGTCCTCGTTGAGCACAATGGTCACTTTCCGCTGGTAACTGGATAACTAGGCTTAAGGCTGACCTATAGACTAAACCTCAATCAGCTCTGGATTTGATTGCTCCTGATCCAGCTATGAAAAACGCTTAAAAAAAAAAAAAAAAAAGTGCTTTGTCCAAATCTACAGTAATCTTCAATGGAAGAAATTGGGTTCATTTAAAGAAATTTCCTCTTAACAATAGCACTTAATTTATTTTTAAATTCTGAAATGAAAAATTTGTATCGCAATTAACTTTGGGTATAATTATGATGGGGGGGTCCTCCCCCAGAAAATTTTGAATAAAGTAGATGCCATTTCCTGCATTCTGGTGTATTTTAATGGTTGTGGCTGGGGAGAGGGAAGTCTGGGCCTCCCTACTTGGGCTGCTACCCCCGCGGATGGATAGAAGTGAACGCTT